AATGAAGGTGAGCACGCATCCTGAGTTGTTTGTAGGCCCATTTCTTCGAACATCTCAAGATGCTGGCCCTACAGGGGAGATACGGAGTTCAGATCCACCTTCGCTTGAAGGCTCTATCTATAACGTCTAGGACTACTAGGTTCCCCTAACAGTGCCCTTTTTTTTGCCCTTTGTGGTTTGGGGTCTCTTTATATAGAACCAAACAGTAGGAAAAGGGCACCCTTATTACCAAGTCAAGAGGTTACTGGAGAACCCAGTCTATAACTAATAGCCATCCATGCCTAGGCTTTTACTCGTTACGGTCCAGATTACTGACAGGGCGTGGAGCACATCGTCCGCACGCCCGGAAGGCACTGGGAGCCGGGAGACGACACAGGCCTTAAGTATTGAATATAATAAGCGTTGGGAGTATGTTATGCAATAGCTGCTAAGTACCCATCTGTTATCTTGGAGTCGCCCATATTACACCAAAAGCAGATCATTTCAGAAAACCACAGACGCTCATAGAGCCCTTATGCGAAGTTGAACCCTTATGGGACTGGTTTCAGAGCATCCGGCAGGTCAACTGAAGTCAGAGGTGAAGCTGGATTAGATGTTGGAGGGGGGGGCAGCGCGGAGGTGTGATACCCTTCAGAGTCCATTTGCCGGTGTGATAGATATATATATATCTCTATATATATATATATATAGATATTTTATACATTTGTATATATGTATATATATATAGATATTTAGAGGCTCTAGAGGGGATCCCTCTATCGCAACTTGAAGGCCAGAGTAAGTACGATATGGGTACATGTACGACCAAAGGTACTATAGTGAGCCCCAACAGGCGTAAACCCTAAGCCGTGCACACTGAACCCCAAACCCGAAGCCCCGAAGACGAAGCCGGTAACTGGTTTACCTTTCGGTGACCTTGCAGCCATAAGGCCCCGCGTTTCAGGCGCTTGCGACAGATCCTGAATCCCTTTGCTATGGTCCCGACCGTGATCATCTGATTCAAAGATCCGACGATCCTGAACTTTAGCCACGGATAGAAGCACAACCGTAGACAACGCTTGAAAAAGCCTTCATGATGCCAGGCTGCCAAACGACACCAGATGAAGCAACCTTTGTAGCAACCACATATATATATATACACACATACACACACACACACACGCCCTCCTACACCATATATCAAAAGCTGAAACTGCAGTCTTTTCAGGGAGCTTCCCAACATCTCGCCGCTCTTGAAGTTGGCACAGTACGAGGCCGGTGTGGGGGCTGTAGGGGTTTAGGGCCTCTATGAGGAGTTTAAGGCTCAGCGTCGAGGGTTCAGGGTGTAGTGTTCAGGATTTAATGTGTCGGCTGTCCGGTTTAGGGCGTACTGCTGGGTGTTCAGTCGGAACCATGCTGTTGTGTTACCATGCCACCTATCACCCTCAAGGGTTATGAAACATGCTGATCGCACATGTGTGTTTCTGGTGGAGTCAAGCGGGCTTGGAGGAGACCCCCTAAACCCAACCACCCCAAAACCCACGGGCTTCTGGGAGACCGCTGGCCTCAAGCACGCCCTGAAGCCGGAAGCCCTACACTTTTTCTACCATACCCAGAGGCTCCATAGTAGTTCCTTTTTGGGATTACCTTATAGGATCCTAAATATAAACCACAAAAGGAAGTACTATGGAGCCTATGGGTATAGACCGTATGTTGACTCCGTGTAGTAGACACCACCTGTAAGCCCTGCATTAGTTAGTAATCACGAGACATACCTTTCCAAGCTTTGCAAATTCTGGAACCCTGAATCCGAAAGCCTCAACCGCAGATAACGCATTCTTCACGGAGTCATGTACGGAAATCATAATATAAGGAATCCTAGAAGGTCGGTGTTTCAGGGTCCAGGAGATCCTTACGCCCCTCTCCATGGCGCGACCCGTGCAGTTGCTCCATTGGAACGAACCTGCACGACCAGTTGCCCCGCCAACGCGGGTCAGACGGCCATTTATTCAGGCTGGATGCGGGTTTAGGGTTGAAGGTTAAGGGTTGGGGCCATGTTGGGCCTTTGTCCCTAAGGATCGATGCGCTTGTTCAGTTTCAACTTGTGTGGCTGTACAGGGTTTAGCATGGAGGTGTTTGTGCAGAGTTACATACATACATACATATATATACATATATGTATTTATATTTATTTAATATGTATTATTAGTTCGAGAAGTGCGTAGACTACAGTGCGAATGGCAACATTTTAGAAGCTCAGACCTTCGAACAACTACGAAAGAATCTCTAGTGCCAACGCTGCCATATACCCAGGGCCAAGCCACACTAAACACTCCTGAACTTAAGCCCGGAACCCCAAGCCCTAAACCCTGAACCTTGCACATTAGGGTGTAACGGTGTAACTGTAATGCAGGTTGAGTTGTGAGAGGCTCATTCCTCAAGCACCAAACCTTTGCACGTTTGGCGTCCTTGTGAAGCCTCATGCATTCATAAGATTGTATTATTAGTAGCAAGGCAGCTACGGTAGATCATGAAAGTTAGGGATACAGCATGTTGGCCTAAATTCATAAGGCTGCTAAAGTCCCTAAACTATAACCCTAAATTCTAAACCCTAAACCCCATAAGGCTGCTAAAGCTGCTAAAGAGCCCTGAAAAACCAAAACCTTCCATATTGAACCGCAAGCACGAGTAGCCCAAACTGGTCAATGTATCCATGCAGTACCCATAGGCCCCTAAGTAGTTCCTTTTTGGGAATACCTTATAACCGAAGCCCCGCTGAACCTCCAGGAGCTCGAGGAGACCCTGAAGAACAGTCCTAAGGACCCTGGTGGCCTTTTGGTTTCTGCCCTAAAGGCCCAAAAGAGGCCCAAAACCCAAAACCCTAAAC